AAATTAAGATAGGCAAGAAAATGGTAAGTGAGCACCTGCCCACCCTAGACGAGTTCAAATCACTAGGACCAGATGGATTACACCCCAAGGTTCTGAAGGAACTGGCAGATGTGATCTTAGAACCACTGAACTATATCTTTCAAAGATCCTGGAGAACTGGGAAACTACCAGAGGACTGATGTAGTTCCCATCTTCAAAAAAGGGAAAAAAATAGATCCAGAAAATTACAGACCTATCAGCCTGACCTCAATACCTGGAAAGATTCTGGAAAAGATAATCAAGCAATGAATCAGCAAACACCTAGAGGCAAACAAAGTCATTACCAAAAGCCAACATGGGTTTGTCAAAAACAGATCATGCCAGACAAATCTTATTGCATTCTTTTCCAGGTGACAAAATTAGTGGACCAGAAGAATGTTGTGGATAAAATTTACTTGGACTTCAGTAAGGCATTTGATAAAGTAGACCACAACCTACTACTTGATAAGATAGAAAAATGTGGGTTAGACAGCATCACCACCAGATGAATTCGTAGCTGGCTGACTGGCTGTACTCAGCATGTGGTCCACAATGGAACTGCATCTACATGGAGAGAAGTGTGTAGTGGGGTGCCCCAGGGCTCTGTTCTGGCTCCAGTACACTTCAACATCTTCATCAATTATTTCGATGAGGGGCTAGATGGGGAACTCATCAAATTTGCAGATGACAGTAAGCTGGCAGGAATAGCCAACACTCCAGAAGATAGGCTTAAGATACAGAAGGATCTTGACAGACTTGAACATTGGGGGCTATCTAACAAAATGAAATTCAATTGTGAAAAAAGTAAAGTTCCACATTTACGGAAGAAAAACCAAATGCACAGGCACAGTATAGGTGGTACCTTGCTCAATAGTAGTAACTGTGAGAGGGACCTCGGAGTCCTAGTGGACAATCACTTAAATATGAACCAGCAGTGTGCTGCAGCTGCCAAAAAAGCCAACACAGTGCTAGGCTGCATTAACAGAGGGATAAAATCAAGATCACGTGAAGTGTTAATACCACTTTACAATGCCTTGGTAAGGTCACATTTGGAATACTGCATACAGTTTTGGTCACCACAATGTAAAAAAAGATGATGAGACTCTAGAAAGAGTACAGAAAAGAGCAACAAAGATGACTAGGAATTTACGTGAGAATTTTTATAAAATGTTTTATAGATGGCACTCGGATCCTTCAACTATGTCTCGTATTTATGTAAATTATGAATCCAAGTGTTGGAGGTGTGGACATCCAGATGCAACTTTTTTTCATATGTGGTGGACTTGTAAGGTTATTAAGGCCTTTTGGATACAATTGTGGTGGAACTTACAGCAAATTTTTTAAAAAAGGATTATCTTTCTCCCACAGTTGTTTCTTTTAGGTATTGTGCAAGATTTAGATGTAAAAGAAACAAATTTGATGCTTTATTGTTTATCTGCTGCCCGATTGCTGATAGCCCAAAATTGGAAGAGCCCAATTCTGCCCACAATGGGAGACTGGAGACTGAAAGTTTCGCATCTTGCTGAAATGGCAAAGATTTCGGCTTATCTGAAGAATCATTCGAATGAACAATTTTTATCAATATGGAGAAGATGGATTGTTTATATTCAAAAGAAGCATAGAGTGGTAGAATGTAATTTAGGTTTTTAGATTTTCTAAGTTTGTTTACTCTTTCTATCTTTTCATGTAGATTAAGATATTTTGTGGAGTTAGAGATATTAGTATTTGTTTACTTTTAGATGAATATTATCCTGGGATTAGGTTTGGGAAGTCCGCGGGGGGGGGGGTTATTTGTTATTGTGTTTACTTATGTCATGATTGTTTTTTATGATGGGAAAAAAATAAAATTTCTTTGAAAAAAAAAAAAAGATGACTAGGGGACTGGAGACTAAAACATATAAAGAACGGTTGCTGGAATTGGGTATGTCTAGTTTAATGAATAGAAGGACGAGGGGGGGACATGATAGCAGTGTTTCAATATCTCAGGGGTTGCCACAAAGAAACTATTTTCCAAAGCACCTGAAGGCAGGACAGGAAGCAATGGATGGAAACTAATCAAAGAGAGAAGCAATCTAGAACTAAGGAGAAATTTCCTGATAGTTAGAACAATTAATCAATGGAACAACCTGCCTCCAGAAGTTGTGAATGCTCCAGCAATGGAAGTTTTTAAGAAAAGACTGAACAACCATTTGTCTGACATGGTATAGGGTTTCCTGTCTGAGCAGGGAGTTGGACTAGAAGACCTCCAATGTCCCTTCCAACTCTATTGTTGTTGTTGATGATGCTGTTGTTGTTGTTGTTGTTAGGAATGAGAGCTCCATGCCAAATACCAAGCTAGTATTTTGGGAAGGAAATATTTCACAAATTGGTTGTTATTAAGAATTAACTCAAGCTGTTCATATTGAAAAAGAAATACATCAAGCAAATCCACCATTAGGTCTATTTAACAAGATTTTTATTTTCCACAGGTGTTCACTATAATTTTTAAGTAGCAAAGACTACTATTTTTGAAAGGTTAAATTAAAACCAACACTGGGGCTTAACTTAGTGTATTTCATATTAAAACAAGTTAGCATTGGGGGTGGGGGTAGCTGAGAAGCAAAGTTAAGAAATACCAACAAAAAAAGGTCACTACTCAAGTTTATCCCTAGATACTTGGTATAGGAAAGGAAAGGAAAGGAAAGGAAAGGAAAGGAAAGGAAAGGAAAGGAAAGGAAAGGAAAGGAAAGGAAAGGAAAGGTTACATTTTTTAAGCATTCCATTGTATGCACTTATGAAGAAAGTAGCATGTCCTGTTGCATCCTATAATTCACTATCTCAGATAAAAAGATATCTATGGATAATATTTCTCAGCATAGCATTTACGTGCTCCATCTTGAAAACATGCAATTGTGGATAAATTTCTTATCTCCAATGAACCATTGAACCATTAGCATTTTAAGGTTCATTAAAAAAGACTGCACATTTCACAGAACATGGAGCTTTTATTCTTTTCATTTGCTTATCAATATTAAGCCAACAAGTTAGAAATAAGTATAGATTCTCAGTGTTATGGGGATAACAAGAATAAAAGTCTTCCAAATTATCATAACACTTCTATTTGGTCTTATAAAAAGATCGATCAGTTTAATGTATATAGAAATATCATTCTATTATTATGCATAATGCTTTTCAGAGGAAAAAGGCAAAAATAAACAAGTATTTTTATGTGTATCCTAGAATTTATGAAGATTTGCTTACACAGAACAGTAGAAATAATCCATCATCTTGAATTTGTTTCACTAAGTTATGTTGATGTTGTGACTCCTTAGATATTACTGTTATAAATACTGTCACAGCTATTAGCCTGAAGGCAACATATGGTCTAGCAGGCAATTAAGCAGAGATGAGTATTCCTTACATGAACAAGTCATTCAATAAAGAGCCAGACCAGAATCAGCAAAGTGATTCTTGATGCTTGGGCAAATAGTTAGGGTACTGCCTTCCAGTGCTCAGTGAGATTAGTCTAGTACCGTGATGGCGAACCTTTTAGAGACCGAGTGCCCAAAAACCACCACCACCACCCCTGTCCCTGCTCCGTCGTGCCCGCTGGACCACCCACCACCTCCATGGCCTGCCACAGATCACCCAGGCAGCCCAGCAGCACTATGGTGGCCACGCCCTCCAACCATACCCTGCAGCATTATCTGCGCGCGATGGGGTGCAAGGGCGGAGTCTTGCCCCTGCTGCCCAGCTACCATGTCCTTGGCTGCCCAGCATTTCGTGGGCCGTGCCCAATGGCGACTCTCTCTGGAGGGCTGCTGGTGAGGAGGGGGCCGTGGGAGGGGGAGGGGCTGGGGCGATAGTGCGTGTGCCCACAGAGAGGGCTCCGAGTGCCGCCTCTGGCACGCATGCCATAGGTTCGCCACCACTGTTCTAGTAACTCCTCTGTCAAGTATTTACACTGTGACATGCCTCCTCACTTTTGTCTAGTGCCTCCAGATCCTCAACACTATCAAGAATCCATATTAGAGATGTGCAGATTTCAAGGGATGCTTTGCCTGGTTATAGGATTAAGCTAAGCAAAACAGTATGACCTCCTCCTTGCATTGCATTGCTGTCTGACACCTAAAACATCTGTAATTGCAGCTTGAATCATGCCAGATTTTTTTCACGCTTCCCTCCTCCATTCAATGGAAATAAAACTCATGGCTCTACATAAAATTAAAGTTACCATGGAAGTTATTTTTAAATGGAAGCCATGCGCATCCAATTGACATTCAGCTGAAACATAACCTGAATTGGCATTCCTCCATATTGTTAAACACAGGAAATACAAAATTATTCCTCAAAAATCATTGCTTTTACTCCAATATGCCAACTTCTAAACCCACCAAAAAGATCTCAGACCAAGATCACAGAACAGGAATATAATTAGCTTTTCTGTAAATCCATATAATTTTGTATATCTGAAAAATTTCTTCTTAACAAAATAGTTTAAGCATAAGGCAAAGTTCCAATGAGTGCAGTTTGCAATTATAACTTGTTGAGACTTCAATTAACAGAAGCAATCAAAATACAGTTCCAGCATAAAATTAATTGTAAGCATGCAAAATTAGTTTTATTACACTTTGCATAAAGAGCACCCAAAAATGAAGGCAAGTATCGGTCCCAGAAGAAGGATTGGCACATTGCACTGCAGCTGTTTAGCTATGTGACTGATACTGTACTTTGAAATCATGAAATGAAGTTGCTATCAATAACAGACATAATTTAATAAAAGCAGACTGGTAAAATGTCCTAGTCAAAAAGACAGAAACAATTTCTAGATAAAATGAAGCAATACAAAGTACATAAATTCCTTCTCTTTCTGGCACAAAAATTGTAAATCTTTTTGACAAGCAACTTTAGAGTGATTAACATTTAGGCATAAAGGTTATTTAACATTTCAGCACAAAAGTGGTTTCCATCAAGGGTATATCAAGTTATAAGATTGTCCTTACCAGTTTTTTTGATGAAGCTGTTCCTTATAGAATAGGACATGCATGAGGACTGCATCTATTTCAGAGCTGCTGTTATGTACACAAACCCAAACAAGAAGGCTGTGCCAAAGAAATTGCTTAATTCTGAATTGCTTTTGTTTGGAATTTAACTCAGCTGCTGATCTAGCATTCATGGATGTCTACCAAAAAAAACCCAAAAAGTTAAATCCATTAATAAAACATTGCAAATAAAAAATTAATTGGCAACTCTCCTTACAGATTTGCATCTTTTTTAACTAAAGTTTTATTTTAATAGTATTATATTCTCATGCTGAATTCCTCTAATTTCATTTTCATTATGCATTTGTGTTGTTTGCATTTTGTTGCTGTTATTGTTTCCTTTAAAAAAGTAAACCCAACAAAATATTTCATTTGCTGTAATTCACTATGTTCTTCGATATTAATTTTTCATTGTATTGCGTTAATTTTTAAGTAGAAATGTGTGTGAACTCCCCATCTTACTTCATGACTGGGACCTCTCTGTGGAACTTTTCCAATACATCTTGTGACAGATTTGTGTGTTTTACCAGCATAGGATAGCATTAACAGAGAAATTACATTATTATAGGAGAATGAAAATTTCCAACTGGTGTGGAAACTGGTGTGTATGTGTTTCAAACTACACAGCTTGCAATATCTGCTGGTTCGGATCACTTCCATAGGAATCTAAAAAGTCCCATTAATACTTGGCTTGCACATTTTGAGTGAGTTCTCTTTTCACTACCATCTTATTCTTTTTGATGGCAATGCCTAATATGTTAACTCAGATATACTTTCAATAGAGCCAAAATAGGATGAAAAGAGAGAGAGTGGCTATCACTTAAAAAAAACACAGAAAGAACACACACACATCTTTTTGATAGCTTTACGTAGTAAAAAGCTAATTCATGATTAGATTAGTGAGATGATGGATGATACCAATTTTCTTTAAATAAAATATTAGAACCTAGAATATTGGCTGATGTAGAAAAAAAGGACGGCAAAGAGAGGGGGGAAAGCAACATTCTGTTTAAAACAATTGATGAAGCAAACATTGGTCGAATGAGAATGGAAAATAGGATGAGCATGTAAAAAGCAGAGCATCTTTTTTATAAATGTAGTGGGATATGGGAGAACAAGGTACTTCTGAATTGCTCGAGGAAGAAATTTATGAGCAAAACTACAATTTTAGATTGATACAAGGCTTCTTCATTGCCTAATTGAAGAACCAATTTTTCACAAAGTACTTAAATTGAAAAATTTGATACACATATTTAATATGAGAAGGCTTTACTAAGTACGAATGTTTAGCATACAGACAAAAATCTCCTCGTAATCACTTGTGCCTGACATTTCTACAGGTAGTCTATCTATCCCCATAGCAATCATGTGAGCTGAATAAATAGATAGGTGAAATCCACCGCCATGTTTCAGTTCCATATACAGCCTGCTTTTATAACTCTATTTTTGTTTTTTGTTTCCTTATTTAAACAATTCCCATTCTTTTGGCATAATTTTGAATCTCTCTATAAAAAGTAACAGAGCAGAAAAGATTTCAGGGACATTATTAAGAGACAGCTAAAAATATCAGAATGGTGATTCAATTACTATTACTGAAGCACGGTTTCTATAATATATTAAATTGTTCTGGGCAATAGATTATTCTTCAAACTTTTCAAAATTGCAGAACGCATCTTTGTAACATTTTATTTATTTATTTATTTATTTATTGAATTTATATACCGCCCTATCTCCCTTACGGGACTCAGGGCGGTGAACAGGCAATAATAAAAACCACGATAAATATACACAAATTTCTGTTCTAAAATCAAATTAAATAACAGGCCTGCTCTAAAAATACCCCATACAAAACCCCCACTAAAACATAATCAAACTATGCCATGCCGGCCGCACGGAATAGATGGGCCTTCAGGAAGCCAGGAAGGGTAAAATAGAAGCCCTGAGTCATTTAAAATAAAATAGCTTCCAGACCTTGCATCCCTTGAGTTTTCCGTTCCAACTCATGATGAAATATACAGAAGAGGTCCTCCAGCTTCTGCACTGCATTAAAGCCTGTGAGATTAGGATACAAATAAGGGCCTCTCTGGAAGCAGGGATGGCACCATTTTGAATCAGCACTGTTATTGAATGTCTCCATGAAGATGTGGGGTTTTAATCAATTAAATGCAAGAGTTAACTATATCAACTACTGCATTAGGATAAATGCAGGTTTGCTTTGTTTCTTCTGTCCTATGGGGTGAAGGGACCTGCATTGGCAGGAACTCATGCTTTGTCCCATTTCCTACATCATAGGATCTCCCATCTCCTTCTGAAGCAAAGGCACAATAGTGTCTTACTATAAACTAATGGGAAACCTACTATCTCACAAAAACATTCATTTCTTCTGGAACAGCAGCTAAGCCAAATAAGAATTTATTCTTTGTTTTCTGAATAGCCCTAAGACAAGTGTTTAAGCTGGTCCTAAATAATAAAAAAAACTAGATATAAATACTGTATTTAGAGAACAGTATATTTTTATTTGATAGTCTCTAGACCAGTGGTTCTCAACCTTTTTAATGCCGCGACCCCAACCGGTCGTAAGTCGAGGACTAAACCGGTCGTAAGTCAAGGACTAAATCGGTCGTAAGTCGAGGACTAAACCGGTCGTAAGTCGAGGACTACCCAACCGGTCGTAAGTCGAGGACTTTCCCTGCCCGGGAGCGCCGCGCATGCGTGGTTCCGCCCCCTGCGCCGGCTGAGGCGTAGCTGGCAAGCAGCAGAGATGAAGCAGGCCGACCACCAGCTGGCCCAGCCCAAGGGAGGTAAGACACCCGCCGGAAAAGGGAAAAAAATGGCGGACAAAAAAATGGCGGACAGCCTTGCTTGGCGACCCCCGTGAAATGGTCGATCGACCCCAAATGGGGTCCCGACCCACAGGTTGAGAACCACTGGTCTAGACATCTGTGACTCTGCATGTTTGAAGTATGCACAGACCTATTATTTTCAATCACAATATATCAGTCATTTCCAAAAAATATAGCTATCATTCATGCAAGATTTTTATCTATTTTTTTAAAAAAAACTAACAAATTGAAGAATTGTATTTTGAAGTTCAATAGGGCACCTTGCAAAGAAGATTGGAACAGACAATACGGGTTTAGATGGATAACAGTCTAGCCTAGTACTGAAGCTATTCCCTGTGTTCCTAATGTATGCCTCATTACTATGACGTCTTTTAAATTTGTTTTATCTGGGCAAAAAGCAATATTCATCATGGCAGCACAGCTGATGAGAAAAACTCTAGCAACCAATATCATGGTTCACTAAAAAAAATCACCCAGGCCACTTCAGGTTCTTGTGGGAGAAGTATATCTGCAACCATGCAGAATAGCAGACATTGAATCTGTCAGCACTGTACAAGTGAAGGGCTGCTGGTTGGCTAAGCAGAACCTGCTGAAATCAAAAACATATGTCACAGCAACAGCAAATGATTTTTAACAGCAAACAATCTCACTAGGCGCTGTAAATCAGGAGTTGTCATCTCCTAAAACAAAACTGGTGCTCTTAATTTAAAACCTGAAGCTTAGACTCTATTTCTCTCTTATTCTTTATCTGTGGCCCTGAGAAACCCTTTAGTTTATCCACTGCTTTTATATCAGAGTACATGTCAAGGCTACCTCTCAATTCAAAGGAAAGATTGAACATGGTTATTTGAGGGACTGTCTAACAGTTTCTGCCCACCAAGTAAGATTGGACACTGTGGCTAACCGTGCTTAAGGTCCCTTCAATTAAACAATATCATCTAGTAGGACCGAAGTAACACACCTTCTCCAATATGCTACCTAAAAGACATCTCTCCAGAGATCCATATGGGTCATACCTGCAATTATTCTGAAACTCTTTGAAAACCTGCCTTTGCTCTAAGTCAGTGTTTTAAACCTGGCAACTTCAAGTTGAAAACCTCACATACTCTAATGACATTCCTTCTTGGACTAGACCTGCCTTTTCTGCCAGACTTGATGGAACAGGTAGACTTGATTGATGAGAGGCAGTCCCTCAAATACCCTGATCACATGTTGTGTAGTGCTTTATAGTCACTAGATGACCCATGACCCATTGAGCCATCATTTTAGAGATATTTCTTGTTACCTAAATAGATAAACAGAAGGACCATGAGCAGAGGAAAAAGCAGTGGGAGCAGAAGTGATTTTTGACTTTCTGCCAGCTTCCCCGTTGACTTTGCTTGTGGGAAACTGGCAAGGAGCATCAGAAATCACAATAATAGGATTGGAGCTGACTGTTTGCAAATACAATTTTATGAAGATCCTTCAATTTTAATTCCATGGAATAATAGATCCCCAATTTTGGACATATTCTTTAAATTAGCCCATTTGAAATACCTTGTTTCAAAAATTGTTGCCTTGTGATGCACCATTGTGGCTTACAGACAGATAATAGAGGTTAAGAGTATATAGATTACTAGCACTTTGAATTGAACCTGGAAACAAACTGGTAGCCATCCTTGTCATCACATTTTACCTCAGGCGAAGCTTCTGGATGGTCTTTAAGGAAGCCCCTTGTAAAGCTCATTACAGTAATCCATGCAGGAGGTGACCAGGGTATGAGTGACTGACCACATTCCAGGAATGGGGGAACTGGTAAACAATCTGAAGTTGTGCAAAGGTCCTCCTAGCCACAATTGTCACCTGCTCTTGAAGCTGGAGTCATGAGCCCAGAAGGTCCCCCAGATTGTGCATCAGATCTGTCTAGGGCAGTGCCACCTTGTCTAGAAACAAATATGGTAAATTTCCAGATCCTGATGGCCCCAAACCCAAAGCCCCTTAATCTGCAATCTGTTGGTTCCCATACAGATGCCCACAGCCTCCAATAACCAAGTTAGAATGTCAATGTAAGGGCCTATCTCAGCTAAGCCTCCCAAGAAAGCAGAACTCTTGAAACAGGCATTGTCTCAAAAGGAACTTTTATTAGAGGCTACTGACAGTAGGGAATCAAGGTGGAATCTGAGAGAAAAACCCGCGAAGCAATATATTAGAAGCAACATTCAATACTCCTCCCCACAGAGGCTCAGTGTTCGTTTGAATCCCAGCCAATCCACAGGTGGCATCATTTTTGGTAACTGGTCATTTCGGTGGGCTCCTCAAGGTCTTTCTCACTTTCGATTTCTCCTGGCTCCAAGCGAAAACCATCTCTTAGATAAGGGAGAGACATTCCAATCCCTGGGGGAAGGGTATCCTGCAGACAGTGCAAGCAATCCCAAAAGCTCCCCCCTCCCAATAGAATGGCAGGCCACAAAGAAAGGCTTCAGAAAAGGGAAAATAGGCACAGGGTTAAAATACATTTCTTTGGAGACCTGACAGTCAACTAATTCCCTAATTCCCATAACACTGTTTTATGTCTAAGTATTTATCCATCTAGTAGGGCTGTATTATATTATCCTTCTCATCTTTCCTTTTACCTTCTATTATTGGTATCTTATGATTATATTACTTCGTTATTTGTATGTACATTGAGAGCTTATGCACTAGAGACAAATTCCCTGTGTGTCCAATCACACTTGGCCAATAAAGAATATTCTATTGTGCAGAGAAAAACAGAGAAAAACAGCATCACTAACATCACCAGGGTGGAGATATACAACTTGGTAACATCAGCAGGCTGATAGTACGTCACCTCATGGCTATGGTTTCATGTAGATGTTAAGCAGGAGTGGAGAATCCAACCCAACAGCATTCCCAAAAGTCAGGTTCAAGGGCAGGACCTCACACTTCCATTCAACATAGACCGGTACGCTCCCACAGAGTGGGTCTCCTCAGGGTGCCGTCGGCCAAGCAGTGTCGGCTGGCGACCCCCAGGGGGAGGGCCTTCTCTGTGGGTGCCCCCGCCCTCTGGAACGAACTACCCCCCCAGATCCGGGTGATTCCGGATCTCCTTACTTTCCGCCGCGCCCTCAAGACATGGCTTTTCCAGCAAGCGG